GTGGATTTAGGTTCTTGGTCTCAGTCAAACCTAATCGAACCGCTTAGGATACCGATGCCCAAGAATTGTCTGATCTATAACGCAGGCAGCACCGTGAAAACTCTTCTCTGTCAGTGAACCGCAAGTTGTGCTGTTATATCTGGGACGAACTTCAGGCCAAGCCACAGGGGAAGAGTCGGACATTCGGGAAGTAGCCCTCGGTGAAACTGGTGACCGTGTCGATGACTATCATAAAAATGGCCTCATTGCAGCCAGAGGTGGCGCAGCTTTTGAAGTAAGTCGACATGCCGTTGATACGACGTGTTGCACATGTGTGTAGTTCTGCCACATTCAGCTTGTGCAATATGAGCCCAATATATCTTCAGACTCCTTGGGTGAAATTGCAGAAAGCTTTTCAGTAGTTGTTCCTTAAATACGAGCGTCCAAAGCTGTCACTGCTATGAGAGGGGACCTTGACCCATAGATAATTAGTGATGTTTCACGGACGGTCAGAACAGGAGGTGTCCCCAAGTCATTTAGACCACCGGCACTCTGAGGCCAACCGCACCATCCTCGACCCTAAATCCACTTCGGTGACCACAGCCGCCCGATATCATCCAAACTGGGCGGTAATGTGGAAGGGGTTGCAGCCTCTTCGCGTTAACGCATCAGTGGCAGACGAGAATTTGTAGGTAGACCCTCAATCGAACCCCGTCATCCCGCTTAATCTGCCTGTGTGACCTGACTCTATGCTTAAGTGAAGAGAAACGTCTTGGGCATAGCAGTGCCATCTGTTGCACGCTGAGGTCTGACAGCAGGTGAATTTGCGCTGGACCGGGGGGAAGTTAACCAACTTCAGAGAATCCTGCTATGATAAAAATGACCCTCAACTTCCCAAAGGAGGCCTGAAGGTTTCTCTTGCTTCCCCATTTACCGATCATCGACCGATTATGCGGCATAACAACTATACTCAGTCGGGCATTGTCACTGAGGAAAGTATCCGAAAGAGGTGTGTGCCTGGAAAGGGTCGAGAACCTGTTCATCCATGAGATCCAAGAATTAGTAACTGTGATTCGAGGGGGAAAATGCTCCTATGATATCCCGCAGGCACAGCGTTTGTTGGTACGAATGGTTATAGGTGGAATAGAAGAGGCGACGAATCGCCTGATCCCACCCTCTGAATCCAAAAGCAGTGGCCTCACTTTATTTGACGGCTGCCAGCTTGGGATGCCCAGATCAGCTAACCTGGGTTCTGAAGTTATAGAATAGAGCGATGGATACCGCCAACAGAAATTTTCTCTTCTTGAAAGCGGATTCAAGATTCTGCAAAGACAGTGAACAACAGTCTTTAGACTGAAGCCACCAGCGACGGACACCAACACCGGGGGTACCAGACTAAAAACTTTGACGTAATCATAACTGCAGAAACAGTTGATGAAAAAAGTTTAGGTCGGTTCCACCGAAGTTAGAAGGATAGTTGCAGTTTTCTTCAGTGCTGCAAACCATCGTTCACCGCCAGCCACCACAGAGACACGAAGCATGGAGATTGCCACCCCGAAAGCTGATAGAACACCATGAAGAGCTCCAAGGTAAGATGAGGGGGTTTATATCTCTGCCCCTAAGCTGAAGCAAAAATTGTGAAGGCAACAGAAACTTAGCAAGCACTTGGTAACAGGAATATCAAAAGAGTATGCACCCCGTTGCTGTTCGTAGGAGGCGTCAGGAGAAGAGTGAGGTAGTTGTGGTGGCAGTGCATCGGTATTTCTCTCAAAGTCAATCAGTAAATGATAAGGCCTTCACACCCACTCCGGTACTACTTCAAAGCAGACACGGCAAGCACTTGGTAGAAGAGGTGTGCCGACTTCCAACGAGCGACATCAAATAGAAACAGCAACTGCATCGGAAAATTATCCAGTGTTGACTATGAGGTACGACCGAATTATTACATTGATTAATATTAACACCGCGAGCCTAAATTTGGGACAGGACAACGTCACATGTGGTCATGGATCCGACCAAAAGCTGCCAAGTCCCGCCAAGACTTCCGGACTACGAGAGTGAGTGGAGGATCACGCTGAATAAAGAACGTAAGTATCACTAATGGACTGCGTTCTCTTTAGCAGCCACCGGCTAGTTGAGAGCAAACAGGTTTGAACTGCCCTTGAAAGAACCAGTAACAGCATGGTGGTGCCTAAACTAGTAATCGGTGGACGAATATTATGGAAGTGACTTGATGTTTGCCTCTGCTACAGAAAGATGAGGACCATGAAGACGAACGGACATTTTTGAGTGGTAGCCTGTGAAATCAAAGTCCTTATTGGCTGGTCACCGTTCTGAGTTTGGAAACGATATTATCAAACGTCCCAACATTAATAAATGTAGTCAAAAAGCGAAATTCAAGGCGAAAATGAGGTTTGGGCACCTCCCAAATACTTGTATGCGGCAGGCGGTAGGTCACTAGAAAACGGTCAGATAAGGGCGTATGTGCGAGCCTAAAAAGGTTACATAACTCCAGGGTGGAGAGGAGAAAGAAGTCTTCCTAAGGAAGAAATATCCAGAGACGTGGGTCAAACCCCATGAACATACACTAGAGCAGGATGAGGGAAAATCTGCCAACCAGGGGGCATGTATTGTTAAGGGCTGAACTGGGATTTAATCTGAGTGAACTTTGGACAGTTTCTCTGCAGCCATGGCTCGGAGAAAGTACACAGTCCTCCCTGCGCCATGCATCTTTCTCACATGACTACCGTGAAAGACTGACGTCTAACTGTGCCTGACGTAACAAACAAAATACGATTATTCTATTCAGAACGCAGCATCCAGTCCGAAGTGTCTTTGAATCAACTGAAACTACACAACTGCGTCCTTTCTGTGTGCAACGCCTGGTAAGCAAGACGGCAGTTCAGACAAACCAGGGGACACTTCGTGGTCTTACACGGTTTCATATTTCGTGCACGGCCCTCATTCAGGAGCTGTTTCTCGGGCCTTGCAGAACGTAGATCCAGCCTCCTCCAGACTTTCTGCATGACACTGAGCCACCGCATCTCAAATGGACGCAAACTCCTATAGAGAGTCCCGAGATGGGCTTCATAAGGTTGTATGGGGCTGCCACGAAAACCACACAAGTAAAAATGAACAACCTGAGCCCAATCGACCTTATCCTAAGGTACCTGGTGACCAGTTACGAGTCCACAAGTTATCACACAAACCATGCCACTCAAATAGAAGAAAGTTACTCGACGGCCACCAAGGCGATCATTTAAATCTTGATCAGCATCATCTATTTAAAGATAAAGACATATGTTTGTCTATCCTCCTCTTCTATGGTTTTCGGAATCTGGAATGTATTGTCTGCTGAGGTAACCACCGCTTTAACTCTCTATAAAATCAAGAAGCGTCTGGACAGCCACTCGTTTACACATCAATAAACCCTATCCGGCTAGAATGTAAATTAAGCCGACGCGAGTAGTTGGGGTCACCTCAATCCATCACTTCTGCACCCCAGCCCAGCAGAGAGTATCCCACTGCCTCTGTGTGGTACGCAAATCTCTCACCATCAAGGAGAAAGACCCGCGACCAGTACTGACTGGAGAGGTAGACATCGACTCCAATTAACCGGGAGACGCCTCCAGGGGCTACTCAGCGCCTCAGTTTATGTGCAGATATCAGGGTGCCCACACTCCGGAACTTTTGCTGGTGCCACACAAGACCTGTATGCAACCTCACACAACGTGATTTCACCATCATAGCTGAAAACAGATGTGAACACCCCGGAGAAAGCCCAGACGTGAGTAACACAGTGTGCTGTGGGGGTGTGGCGAAAACTTCGTGAGGACAGGATGAAAGACCTAGGGCTTTGTCCTCTCAGCTACCGAGGGTTGTGTGACGACTTGGTGATGGCTTACAAGATACGAACCAATCCAAGTCATCCGAAGGGTAGAATTCCGCTAGACAGCCACCAAGAAAATCCTCGTCGTCACCCAGGAAGGATCGTTCAACAAAGGGCAAGAACCTGCGTGGTTTCACATTTTTCTCTCACGGAGTTTTCTGCAACTAGAATGCATTGCCCGGCGAGATCGCTACAGCTTCAGTTGCTGAAAGCCTCAGGAAGAGTTTGAAGAATTACGCAGCGGTGCTCGGTTCGCGATCACCCAGGTTCCAGTTCCACACACTCCAGTAGAGTCAACCGTATACCGAATCTTTTGTGCCGCCACCACCGTCGCGAACCCGGCTTAACCTCATATTTCCCCGTTATTCATCTCTTCCAGTCACTTTACTTCCAATAATAACACTGCTATTTCTATTCTATAATCTGTCCTATAATCTCACTTGCTACTTATCTCCCACATGACTCTATAATCTCACCCTGTGTTTCGGTCTTCGTTACCGCTGTCATCTCTCCGGGTTCTACCTAGGTTTCTTCTTCTCCTGAGCACCACTTCCTTTCACCTAGTTTCTTCGTACTTCCTGTCCTCTGATTTCACCGGATATCTTTTCTACACTCCTTATACAACCAGTTCGAATAACTGCCTTGTGGTAGGAGACTTGAGGAACCCATCTGCATCGCAGTCCTAGGGAGAGTCGTACAATTAACAACTAAACCCTCGTCGGGCTAACTAGAGCTACAGCGGGCGATCTACTGCGTTGGAATCCACCCAAGACCTGTGACCACTGCGCACGACTTAGAAGCGAGAGTGAAGAAATAAGTTGGTTTGCAGAAACTCGTAAGAAGGTATAAGATTTTGGAAGTCTCTCCACTATTTTAAATGATTATCCCTTGAATCTTCTCATGTCTTTTATACGACCAACCCGAACAACTATTTATCAGCAGGTCGTAAGCAGAACCCATGTGAACCACTGTCCCGGTATAACCACACAACTTCCAATAGACTTAACCAACCTCCGTCCACACAATGGGTTTATCAAAGGTACAGTAGACGAGTGAATGAACACACTGCAGCAGAACCCTTCTACAAGGAGTATAACTGAATTTAAGGAAGTGAGCTATTTTATCCAGGAATATGGAACAGGTAAGTAAGTAGATTACTCCATTAGTTCACTTTTATTTGCCTTTTACTCACATACATTTGTTTTTCCAGGAATCCTTTTCACTGTCCATAACCCTTCTTAAAGACTAGCCAGAATAACAGCCTGGTAACTTAACATCTGAAGAACCCAACTGCCACACAATCCAAGGCAAAATAACCAACACTTAACCTTTTAGGATTTGTCCTGGTGCGAACTTGACAGACGCAAAGACCAATCACTAATTATTCGAACTTGTTATATACCCACGAATAAGATACAAAGGAAGAACACGACAGCGTAGTCGGATGGAATAGTATATTTGGATGGTTATGCCAAAATACCGATGCGTTCCAACTAACTGGCCAGAGAGTCGAATACGAGCAATGCAACGTAACACGACAGCGTGCCAAATGGCGAGGATGCTTGACCGGGTGCCTTCAGCTTAGCGAGTCCAGTTAAACTATCAAGGTCAGCATCAATGTCGAAGGTCGTCAAACCCTAGGCTATTGATTTTGGGGAAGTGTATGACGCTACAACCTCATGTTCTGTATACCACAGCTATAGCATACGAATGGCTAGATCTACTGCACCGGAATCCGCCAAAGGGCTGAAACCGTTTCACAAGACTGGGAGGTGAGAAAGAAGAAATCAACTGGTTTCCACTAGCTCGTCAAAGAGGTATTGAATAGTGGAGGTACGGGATATTGTGTTTTACGTCTCCACTTTAAGAATGGACAATCAATGTGGGTTGTTCATATCTTTTTGCAGTATTCGTGAGATGTGGGTTTTATCTCGCCATCTAGTCACTGGTATTTAATTCTTTCCACATAATGTGTTTGCTCCAGTCTTTTGCATAGAGTTATTACTTAAAGTGGCTCTGTCAGCTGATCCTGATCACTGTCCAGGTAATATTTCTCGTTTTTTGGCATCATATGATGCTTATATTATGTAATCATGTCGGGTTAATTTATATATGTAAATAAATAAGCATATGCGATCGATCAGATTGAAGTGTTTTTGCATGACTACTTGAGAGTTTCATTTTTTCTGAATTCTATCCACATGAATAGTATCTTGGTAACTGTACCGTTACCGTTTCCCCTCTTTTTACGCCTTTCATAAACAGCATACCCATCAGTGTCTACTTTTACGCATTATTTCCCATTTATTTTCCAACTTCCCCCATTCTCCCTCTCGGTGCAGACTGGGGTATAAATACAAATTACTGGGAATTTCCATTTCATATTTCCGCAGGATAGCATCATTCCAAAAAGAAAGAAATACAGGGTTACATTTTAGCTGAGAGGGTAGCATAGGAGAAATAGGATTAGATGAAAGTCCATATTTATCTTTACTATAAGTCGAATGAAGTTGACAAATGGCTACGCATTGGATCAACTTTGAATGTGGAGCACACTCCCCTTGACGTCAACATCCAACGTAAGTGATGCAAGTACAAGTAACTGGAATCCCACACCCTGGTCTCACGACAAGGTTGCTTTTGTACGGTTACACGTTTTTGCTGGCTACAGAAGTTTTTTCGGTTTGCTTATGTGTAGCTTTAGGGGAACTAATAGCCTGTTTACAATTTTTATTTCATGAGTTGTAGGATGGTTTGTTTTGAAGAGTAAGGGGGCTGCCGATAAGACCAATGAACTTTTTGAAATTCCTGTTTGTATAGGTGCCTATAATGTGTTAAATCATCAATCTACAGGTATTGTGAAATAGTGGTTGTTTGGTGGATAGATAAAAAACGATGAGATAGCAAAACGAATGGAGAACAGTAGTGGTGGTAGAAATAATTTTAATGAAATGTAGATTCTAGGATCTGGCAACAAAGGGCTGGATTAGGATGTATTTACTGCCACTGACATTTGTTGTTGGTAAGCCGTAATTGCTCACGTACTTTTTCAGTATTCTTTTGAGCGATTCAAATGAGGGGCTGTTGCTACTTCTTTTGACAGAGCGTTCCATAACGAGTTAACTGTGAGAAAAGAGGTCAGGTGTAACATGTTTTAGCCTACTGGTAGGGTATACTAGTAGGTTTTCCACGAGACTGTCGGCAGTGGACCGACAACGTTGTTCCATTAGGGTCGTCCACTCGGTTTATACATAATTTAGTGAGTGGATACTAGATACCCTTTTTGTCTTCAATAACCCTAGGTCTGTGAATCAAGTTCTCTAAGATACTGTGGATACGTTTTGCTTGTTTACTTGACAGCTGAATTTGTTGCTGTTCCCTGCACCCTGTCGAGAATGTTTGTTTCTTTCTTCCGCATAGGGCACGAGTTATCCTGTTGAACATCTCTAAGTTTCATGTAGTGTAGGTTTTGGGAACCGTGAGGAATAATTTAAGATAGGGACCTACAGTTATCATATATGTTTAGACATGATATTTTTTATTGTACTTACCGGTCGCTATAAAACAAAATTAGTAGAAGAAATGTAAGCAGTGTATCTTATTTATCGCTGTTTCAAATCAGATGATTGAGAAGGCACAAATATAAAATTGCGCATGAGCAACAGTTCATATATAATTTATGATTGTGAATCTAGGAAGAATGAATCCCGTAGAACTATTTAAGAATAGGTGTTCTCAGCCGTTTTGGAGATAAAAACTCATTGAGAAAACAAACCAGTTCTTTATTTTCCTTTTTCTTGCTGTGAAATTATACCGGTTGCTTTTTTAATAAAGTTTGCCAGTCATCGATTCTATTAACCTAACTATCTATGATGTCAATTCTCCGTTTTTATGACTTTACTTCTGAATTGCGTTGAGTTCCTTGTAACTCTTACTCCCTTATATAAAAGGACCATAAGACCTGGAATTTCTCCAAGAGTGTAAAAATGAAGGGGTTCGAATTCAATCTTTATTTCACTGTGCTACTGGATAATTACACCTACTTATAATCACTTGATACTTAACAACGTAATACCCAACCAATAGCTGCTACCTTGATATGGAGGTTGGGCTTGCATATCACAGTGACCCAATGAACTAGACTGACTACCATGCCAGAAGGATCTATTGGATAGTGGTAAGATGATAAACAGTTACCGTTTTAGTGTAAATTACTACACTATGGTGAAGTCTTTGGACGAAGTTGTACTACTGCTAGCTGGATGGGGTGTAACAGCACTAAGGTATTCCCCTTGGATGATCAGCAGTGCCACGCTGATGCTTCCTTCCCAGTGGGAAAGGAAAGGACTACAAAAGGTCGGCCTCCAAAATAGCACACTCCTCCCTACCCCAATGTCTCCCAGCAGTGCAGGTCCTATCTATCTGGAGTTAGATTAAACAAACCTCAAAACAGCATCCCACATAGGGCCGTGCGTAACAGACCTCAGAGGACCTCCCATGGGCCCACCGGTTACGTAATATCCCTTCTTTTAAAGGTATCTCAAGAAGAACCAGCCTATCATGGTGTGGGCAGCCGGGAGGTATCAATCGCCCACACGCTTCCAGTAGTACGGAAGACCCAACCTATCCTCCCCAACTTTGTTTTATCCTTCAACTCCCGATACTTATACTAGGCTTCTCGCACCTTCCTCAACCTCTCATTCTGCGACCATTGCGAATGGTCAAAGCCACCGAAATCGGATTCCTCGCTTCCTAAGACCCCAGCATCGATTTCGTGTAAGAGTTCTGAAAGTCCAAACTCCATGACAAATCAGATAGCAAGCATCGGTCGTCAGCACTTTGGAATCGCTAGCCATGGATGTATGCTGTATTTCTGAGAAACGTATAGAAGAGTCGAGTGTGATTGTTAAATGGACCTCACCTTGCCATAGTAGTAAATCTTCAAAGTTCACCTCAAGAGTATCCACAGAAGCAATACCCAGCTCTTGTGGACTCGCTGGTGTAGGTAAAAAGTGCGCTCCTCAACTAGTTTGTAGTAAATAGCTGTCTATGTGCTATTCGACTGAATGGATCTGTGGGGACTAGAAGGATGGTGAAACTAGTTGATGCCTATTCGTAATCTTCTCTTGCTTACTGCAGTATGGGTAATGCAAAGGATGAATTCTATGAAAAGCCGTCAAATTTGCTGTAGAAAGCATAACGTTCAGGTGTAGTCATAATGGTAGGTGACTTTAACACCCAGTATGTAAGTTGAGCCAGTCTTAAAGGGATCTTGGGGATATTTACGGAATGCTATGCCAACGAACTGACAACGGTGGTTGTCTTTTGCAATTTTGTTCCAACAACTACTTGTTTCTGCACAGCACTAACTTTAAGCATAAGAAGAGACATTGTCTCACATAGCACCCGCTGACATCAAATCAACGATGGACACAAACAGATCATATTGCTATGAGTCATCATTAGAGAGGATCGGTGGAGGATTACTGCTCTTTCTGGAGTACCAGTTTAGACTCTGATCACGCGTTAAACCTCGTGTATGTGTGCACCTTGCTAGCTGCAAAAGCAGGCGAAAGTGAAGCCTGTCTGTCCTTGATTGGAGGAGGAGGACGGCAAATACGCATTTAGAGAGCACTTATCTTAACATGATAGCAATGCCCATCCTGGAAAAACCTAGTGCGATATTAAGTCTGCTGTCGAAATAGAGATAAAGGCAGTTGGTGGCGTACACCCCAAGGTGAACAAACATCACTGGATTCCTGCTACTTCATCCAAACTGACTGATGTGAAAAGACTGACTTCAGTTGGCTCTGATGACGATGAAGAGCGACAACAACTCACAAGTAAGTTGACCAAAATCTTCGTAATGATCGTGAGCAGTGGTGAGTAGCAAAAACGAAAGAGATTGAGAAAGCATAAGAGTTGGGTAACACTCGGCAGTTACTCAGGCTTCTCAAGAATACTGATAAGAAGAAGATGGTCAGTGAAACCATCACCGAGGAAGTATGTAACGATACTCAGAGCTCTCTACCCAAAATCACACTGCCGTGTCCGGGCTTATGGAGAGTCGTCATGTGAAGTAACGACAACTAATGGTATTCGCCAGGGATATCCACTGTCACCGTTCCCATTTAACTTCATCACAGATGTGCTAATGGACGTAATCTTCGATACATCTGACTTCATAGGGGTTGACCTACTCCCTGGAGGTCTTCTAGTTGCCTTGGAGGATGCAGAGTACAGACTGCCTGGTCACAGTTTTCAAGACGACAGGAATCAGTAGTCAACGACTCTCGATGACATGGTTCGAAACCGGTCACAATGCCACAGATGTTTTCACTCCTTGACATCTTTTAAAGCCTGAATATTCCCACCAACCTTTATCTTCAAATTGATCATTCTCTCATATCATTTTTATACTCTGATATCACTTTTGTTCTATCCACCTGTTCTTCGTGTACTACTGTGAAGTGTATCAACTTGAATCGATGAACTTGTGTGCGATGTTCTAGGTTGATGTTTTCAGTCAGTTAGTAACGTATTATGGAGATTGGGTTAGAAGTATCCACGTTTGTAGACAGGTTTAGGGACTATTCTTCATTCACCACTTTGTTCAACTAAAATAACGCTATAGATTTACAACTTAGTAAACATGTTCAGATGCTATATTGCGATATGTATGCTCATAGATTACCTGCTATATCTTTATCGTTAGAAAACACTGGTTGCTTTATCACCACTCCCAAGTTTCGATAGTAATTTCACGCTGCAAAACTCGGTAGACTGGTCATCTCTAGCCCTAGTTGTACTACCTGGTCGTCGGTGATTAGTTTATGTCTTAGATGTCTGTTTCAAGACACCAGAGCTACTGAGATTGGTTATCAACAGACTGTTGTTCATTTAGTCTCTGTAAGTTAAGAAGTAATAGTATCTTATTCTTCAAAGGGGCAATGCACCTCAACATTTCTATCCAACATCAGGATGTAACCAGGTGTGTTGAAGTACAGTTTAAGACGAAGCATGGTTATGTAAGACGGAAGCTGG